TGCCAACAACCACACGCGGTACCCGCAACTGCCCTCGCCCTTTCCTCAATGACGCCCCCCGGGGTTGCGTAATCTGTTGTTTAGTACAGCTGATGCGTGTTCCGATGATTATGTTCAAGTTCAGGCGCCCACGTGTGCAACGAACTGGACATGATGATACCGATAGCGGGATGGATATTGACGTGACGAAGGACTCGATTCGGCGTTGACGTTCGGGGTTCCTGGACAGGGAGGAGGGGGCAAGGGGGGTGGTGTCAATACACAGGGCGAAGCGAAGGATATGATGTTGTATTCGGAGAGTACGTTACCAAAGCGGATGAGATCTAGACACTCTGAGACGCGAGGAGGGTTTATCGAGTTTGTTTCCCAGGATCGTGGAGAGCGGAGTTGCGGGGAATGTTACATCCTACGGCATACCATTCTCGACAAATGCATGATCTTGGTGATAGGTCAGCTGCAGAAGAGGGATTTCCAGCTGGCAGTGAAGGGAGGGTCGTGTGGGATGAGTGCGAGGCTGGAAATCAAAGACAGAAATGGCGGATGAGGAGATGGGTGGGCGGAAGTGTCATACCAGGGGAGCGGTTTTGGAGATTACGAGTGTGAATAGGGCGGATATGTGTTTGGGGTTTGTGGGGAAGGTGGGGGGCAAAGTGGGGCGAGAGGAGCAAGCGACAGGGACTCCGAAAAGGAATGGGAAAGGGAGAGGAAGAGGGAAAGGGCGAACGCGGCAATTCCAAGAAGGGCAAGAGAAAGAGCAGCATCAACATCAGCAGCAGCAGCAGCAGGGACGGCGCAATCCAAGAGCAGCAACAGCAATATCGATCGCGACGGGTGAAGCAACAGCGGGAGCAAGAAGGGGCTGCGGTCCAGCAAGCGCAAGAACAGATGCAAAGGCGAAGTGTTTCGTCAGATGTGAAACAGAAATTAGAAGTACTCAACGCGGCACATCGTTTTGAGTATGGTGGGATGTGACACCACAGGAAGCATTGGAATTCATGTGACGTTCGCAAGCAGAAGAAATACAGAAATTTGTGTTTGGGATATGAATACTTATTTGTCAAACGAAGACGAATCGTTTTCTTTTTATGAGCATTGTGAAAAGAACCGGGAGGGGGAGGGGGGCGAGGACGACGAACGAATTTCACAAGCTCGAGTTTCTGCAATGTTGAACTTCAGGTTCGGGCACTGGAGAGTTTTTCGTATGGACTATGCAAGTGCAGCACCCCCGATTCATAAGGCTGAATTTCTACTTCTAATCAGCCACGCACAAGCTGGGCCTCGTCTTTCTTCTCTTTCCGGAAAACGATCAGACAGGGAAAAAACTCACTCTTTCGTTTGAAAAAGTAATGTGGACAAGCTTCCACCACTGCAGCAAGACCGAAACCAACTCTTCACTTCAGATGTCTGGATTTCTCGAGATGCGTTCCAAGTGGACGGAATCCAAGATCAACCCGCTTTTCCAATGATCCGTTCGATCCATGACACGGATTTGTACGAGGGCGAATCGGGACCTCACATGCAAGAGGCTTTGCGCGTTCACGACCTCTTGAAATTGCTCTGGCATATGTGTCAGATCACCCAATTTCAATATGCTGGCCGTATTCGTAAACTTGCCAGCAAAGATCTCCTCCTCTGTGTCCTGGCCCTCGGCGAAAGCAAAGAGCTTCACCTCCCCTAAGTTACTACGCCAATATGATTTGACGGCTTTGCCCACTTTCAATCTCCATTTGACGATGTATGCCCCACGGCTCACGGATTCGATGGGACCTCGTACCTTGGAGTTGGAAAAACCAAGGATTGACAGCATCAAAGACTGGATGATTTAAGCATTGCAATCCCAACTGTAACAGTGTTTCGACTGACTTACATCAAGCCAGCATACTTGATGGAGAACTGCGACGCGTCCTGAAAGACTGATTGCGGCGAAAAAAGGAGAATGGGGCGGCCGGGCACCACAGTATAAGAAAATATACTGGGGGGTCAGTTTGTTACGATCAGCGACGTGTTTCATTTTTAACAAGATATTTGATCACTCACGAACCTGTTGGGCTCGTCGGAGAGGAACCAGTAAATGCCAGACTGATAGCCGCTAAGCCATGTGATGAAGAAACTTTCGATGGGTCTTTTGAGACACGCTATGAATGGATAGAGTGTGAAACGAGATACTTCAATTATTTGTCGAGGAAGGGATGTAAGCGTTTCCTTTACCTTTCGTCTTATATGCCTCGCGATAGTCTGTCAGCGGCGCGTTTGGCGGCCCATACCGAACTTCATAGAGTACCCTCCACAACCAATCATCACGGCAATAGTGGGCAAAGCGCTTGCAAACCTTGTGACATGAAAGATAAATTGTAAGGGACGACCAGCAGATTGACGATGACTCCAACATCAACGGTAACAAAACGTGTTGAGATTTCGGAGATTAAATTCGGCATTAACAATGAAATATTCTCTACCAACGCGATGCTCGCGACGTCTTCAGTGTCAACAAAGGCAAGTATTTTCATGACAATTTCAAAAGGAACTGTAACCTTGGGGAACTGAGTCCTGTGTTCTTTGTGAATGGTGTTGAAACTTCTTCGTGGCCGTTTAATGCCATTTGCTTCCACGTTCTCAATGAATTCCATGCCGGTTTGACGTATCGCTGATCCGTTGGTAGTTGACCCTAGGAATTTCGAATGGTCCAGAACAGCCTAGAGCATCTTTATGGCGAGTGCTCCAATTTACAGGATATCTATATCTGACGATCTGATGATACCGGTCCCAGAAATCAAGCAGAAACCACTTGCTACCATTGCCCAGTAATGAGTAAGAGCAACGGAAGTGGCAACCAAGCATTAATAATACTCAAGACAACTACAAACCACAATTTGTCCAAACCGTGTCATCGTGTGAATGTTCTCTTTCTTCTTCCTCTCAAGGATACGACCGCCCTTGTCCGCATGCATTTGAAGTATTGGGCTTCTTCCAACCATAAAAGTATATATCTTCATCGCCGATCCTCTATCCCATCACTACTCCATTCATTCATTTTAAATCCTCGCGAAAACTATTGTTGTGGTCTGCAAGCCTATCTGATGTGAAAGCGTTTCGGTGCCCCCATGCGAGTAAAAAGACTAGAAAGCGGCGGTCGCAAAAGGGGGAAATCGAATGTAGAGGGCAGCCGCACCTACCAAAGAAATTTATGATTGAATGCGGAGGTAGCGTGCATAGAAAGCGGCGAGCGGCGTGTGGAAATGATGACCGTTCTTTTTGGCGAGGAGTGGTTGGGGAAGCGGATATTAGGCGGCTGCCTCACAGAAACCCTGGTCAAAGCGACAGGTATTGCTGTGGAGTTGTTCGATCAACCACCTCACCAGCTGCAGCATGAAACTCATTCGTGGTTGCCATGAGTTCCCATGAAGCGCGCCTTTTCGCTTGCATCACTTTCTCAAAGAACACCATACACGCATGCCAACAGTCACTCTCACTCCTTAAACACAACAGTCACCTTCGTGACATACTGACACCCACGACCCCCTAACTGACCATAAGTTTAAAAAAAAACACATTCACGACGTAGTAGATTGACTTTATGGTGTCTTCAGGACCTCGAGGATTTGCATTCGGCGCGGAATTGGGGGTGGACCTTATTAACGAGGCAAGTGTGCACGTACCTGAAGGGAAACAGATGGATATCGAACAGATTTCTGAGATAAGCTCACAACGGAACAAAACTAAACACCACACGCACCCGACCTTGGCCATCGAAACAAAGGTAAAAGAAGCGAAGAAAAGAGCTACACACTTTCGCCTCCTCCAAAAGTACACCACATCGCAACTGGGAGCGGCGGAGCGCCGTCGCAAACCCCGACTTCTCGTCGACCAAAAAAGCGGCAAGAGCCACGTCCCTCCGGGCCGGTCTTGCTCTGCCCATTCGTTTGAAACACCACCTGTTCCCCTCGAGTCCCCCAACACCAACTTCTGATGCGTTTCCGCCGACGCTGAGTCCCAGAGCAACCCGCCTGGTAGATCCCCTCTCCACCGACTCGCCCAGCCACCTTTTCGCTCAAGTCCTCCACCACCTTCAGCCCTTACCAGAGACCGCTCAAGGCTGGAGGGAGCATTGAGTGACCTCCCCAAGAAATAGAACTGTTTAAGATCACACCAATACAGTACCGTTTGGAAACGTCTGTTCATGTTCTGGCTAGGAGCTCGGACCTCAGTCGAAGTTTCCTAGGAGGTGCGAATCGTCCAGGGACGGTTTGAAGTCTCCTCTTAGCCCTACAACACGGTTTTGACAACCAAGATGAAGGGTATGAAGGGAAGGGGAGATTCAGGAGTTGAGGGGTTGCAATCAATTGGGGATGGTACGGTTGGAAGATTTGAATACGTCCATTTTTTGCGTTTGCTTCGACGGGCGGAGGTTTGCCTTCCACATGTATTTTCCCGAAAACGGTTTTCAAATCTCTAGCCGAGGTGACATGAAAGCATATTGTTTGGTCTCAAAAGATTTAGACTTGGGGGGGCAATGAGTATACGCACTCAATTGCCAAGAAGAGCGCAGGAAGCTGCAAAGCCCATGATGGTTCAACTTCCACCTTCAACATGTTATTTCCCTGAACTTCGTCTGTATAAGTACCCGCAAGCTTGCAACCAAAACTGATCATGATGTGAAGGCGGGCACAATGGCGATTCCAATTCATACCATGACAAAAATCGCAATCGTTGCTTCAGTAAAAGGATGGAATATTTCCACTCCCATACGGGATTCAATTCAATGACTAATATTGGCAGCGACATGGAAAGATCTGAAACAATCACTGGTCAGCACGCTGCGAAGATGAGGGGTGGTTCGTGGGAGAGGAGAAGGGACCAAACTTTTTCCAAGGATTCAGAAGTCGGATTTCGGATGGCTGTTGATATGAAACTTGGCTTGAAGCATTGAAAAGGACATATATTCTATGATGGGGTGGAACTAAAATTCCATAGGAAAAGAGCATACTTGCAGTGACATATATAGGTCGTGCCGAGATTTGAACTCGGGTTATGAGATTCAGAGTCTCATGTGCTAGACCGCTACACTACACAACCATGTCCCCCCCTCCAAAAATGTCATATATCTTTCTAGTGCAAAAGAACCCAAGCAAAAAGGGAAGAACGAAGGACGTAGACTCAGTAATTTGTTGTGTGCTGACCGCATACTCCCGGGCCCAACCTCTGACATCTGGTAAGAATGTGCACAGATGTCCCGGACGTTTGAGAACCGGGTCTAGTGGTCCCGTGCCCTCGTAGTCCTTGGGAAGGGTTGAGGGTATCGATGTAGCGATGGGGTCGAATGCGTATAGTGGCCGAGCTGAGCCCTTCTCTTTCCATATCTGTTAAGCCAAGCTTAACAGGCCTTTCGTCGACGCCTAAGGCACCGACATCAAAACGCGCGATCCTCACCCCGAGT